GGGGTCCGAATGAGCAGTTGTCCGTCCCACGGCAAGTCAGCGTTCATCTCTAACGTTATACCAATGCTTCTCTGGTGCTGTCCTTAAAGGTCCAAAGCTGTAAGAAGCACTGGATCATTTTAATCATGACTACTCACTTAGCCTTGGCTCAACCCGGTCTGTTCAACTACCACACCTTCTCCTAGAGTAGAGCAACCTGCTAGGGTAAGCTTTGGGTGAGGACAAGGCTGGTGTGCCAGGCTCGGCTGACTCCCAGAGCACTGTCTGGGATGGGTTGATCCTTTACTCATTGCTGCCATTCTTTCTAACCAATCTTCTGAGGGCTGGAAGTGTGTAGGATAATCCGTGATAAGTTCTGCCTTGCTACTCACCGCATCCAGCTGATGAGTCTGAGTCTTCATTTAGTTAAAACTCTCATTTACATAAACACTCAGTGGAAGTTGAAGTCACTACATTCTTTTTTTGACTCCATCTCTCTTGGCTTCCTAACATCACTCCTGTCCACTCCAGGCTGTTCCCTGCCCAGACCCTTGTGTTCCATGGAAATCCCAACTTGGGACCATGAGAATTCTCTAAAGGCCTTGAGAATTCCTGTCAGTCATCCATCTGTAGCTTCTTGTCGTGAACCCCAGATGCATTTAGCATGGTCTGTCATGAGAGCCTCACCCTTCCCTTTCCCTCCTCTATGTAACTGAATCTTATGACCTTGTGTTAATGTTTTAGGCTCACCAGGTTTTATCCCTAAGAGTGGAAGAATGAACGATGGCGATTCTTAGCTTAAAGCACCAGTCAGCTTTGAACGGCGGCATGGAATGAAGCAAAGGAATTGACACATTTTTCTCCATTACTGTTGATTGAACATTTGATCTTTCCACCTGAGAAGTTGCTTTTTCATAGACTTCAAGGACTTAATTTAGTGGTATTATCCTTGTTTCTTCAGGTTTCCTGGCTTTGCTCCAGGAAACTTGGTTGCCCCGGGGCAGTCTGATATATCCCCATTGTCCTGGTATTCCATTCAATTACCTACTTTGTCCTTATTCTCAAAAGTGGTTTCATTTAGGCCTTACCCTCTCTAAGGAGCAGATGAGATAAGGAGGAGAGGGGGAGCAGGAGAAGAGGGTGGGGTAACTGGGATTGGTATATAAAAAATGAACGAATAAGTAAATAAATAAATAAAACTAATTATGAATAATGTGTCCTTTCAAATTACTATGTAGAAGCTCTGACACCAGCATATCAGCATGTTGCTGTATTTGGAGATAAGGCCTCTAACTGTAATGAATTTAGAAGATTACCGTAGTCAGGCCTGGTGAGCTACACCCTCCCTACACGTGAGAAAACACACGAGGATTTGGAGTAAATCAAGACCATCTAGGCTACGGGATGAGACCCTCTCTCATTCACACACCTCTGAGAAAAGGTGAGTTCAAAACGAAGCCCAAGCCAACCCAGCAGTGTCCTCAGAAGAGAAAACGTTGAACACAGAGAACTTGAGAGGTGTGCACATCCAAATGAATTTCACATCCACAGTGAGACTGTAGCCTTCAGGAAGAGGACGCCAGCCCACCAACACCTTGGCTTGGGCTTTTACCTTCTAGAACCGTAAGAAAATAATTTCTGCTGTCTGTGTCACTCTGTTATCCTTTATCTCGGCCCTGGCATACTAAAATAGTCAAATTGAAGTTGTTAACAAAATATAAAGTAAAATAACCCCAAATAGTGTATCCTAAGTGACGCTACTCCAGTCTGTCCTCCAAGATGTTACTACTTTCCAAGGAACCCACTGCGATGAGTGGTGTTTGGGACCTGCCCTTTTCTGTGTCCAGAGGTCACAGGCTTGGACTGTTATCACTCACATTTGTGACCTTTTAGATATCTGAGGACCTACAAATGACTAATTATGTACTTTCGGTTTTTTTTTTTTCCCCCTGAGACTAAGTAACTTAATTCCTCCAAGCTACTTGCCAAACTTTTAAATCCAGTTCATGGACCACCACTCCACTGCTCCACCAACGCACACACACAGACACACACACACACACACACACACACACACATGCACAGACACACATGCGTACATATTTGTGCATGGACTTAAAGCTAACCAAAAAGCTCAGGAATTTAAAAGACTGTGTCAGTGGCATCCTTTCTCGAGATAAAGATTAAGGTCACATCCATCACACAGCTATGTGAACCATCACCCCATCCATGTAATGTGTTCATGAGATAAAAAGCGATACATTCTGTGGGGCATCTACATGCTTTCTCTCCGTGAGTTAGCATGTGTTACTAACCCTTGCCTTCTTGTGTTTCAAAACACCGAACATCTGCAATAGACGAGCTTCACAGATGAGGGATGTGTGCCTACCAGGAACCACTCCTCTGTTAATCCTCCATCAAGGCATAAATACAACAGACCTTGTTTTCCACACAGATCCCCATTTCTTTCACACCCAAGCATATGCTAAGAGTGCTCAAGCGACACTCTTCCTTCAGCTCTGGGAGGTGTCTTGAAACATTTTTAGCTTACCAAACACAAGGCAGAGGAGAATCTGTTTCTTTACTCAGGGATAATCATCTTCAACCGCTTATTTATCCTGCAGATGGAAACCTATAGATTGAAATAGACACATTTTCATTCTAAAACTGGCATTGACATGGCCACAGTTAAAAGGTATAACCGTTGTGTTGGAAAAACAACCACCCCGGGGAAAGTCTACACTGTGTCCTGCTGTTCAAACCAAGTGCTCATTAGGAGTAGAACATGAAGGAAGATAAAGAACAGAGGAAGAACATCAGTCTACAGAAACAGGGCCACACATAGGAAAGACGAGAAACTATAAAATGATTCCATTAGAACGGTCTTATGACGTATAGACAAAAGACCCATCCCCATTTAAAGATTCAGGGGAAATGGCCAATTAAAAAGTCTAGAACAGTGTGGCGTGATACTAGGGCAGCTAACCATCCTAGCTGTTTAAGTCTGTCAATGTTAACTCGGATTGGAGATTCTGTTCTCCAGTTGCAGTAAACACATTTTAAGATCTCGGTAGTCCCATGTAGCTGCCTGTTTCAAGATTAGATGCCATCACTGTAGAAGTCCTACTAGATAATGCTAGTCTAGAGGAAGCCTTTTGATGTCTGTTTAGACACCAGGTTCTAAAAGGGCCAGGGGTTGATCAGTGTGCCTGCCAACTGTGACAATTCACGGTGAAGAAGAGAAAAAAATACTCTCCTAAATAGAGAGACTGAGGTCAGTTCAGTATCATTGACATTTGTATCCAAGAAATATACTTACACAGACAGAGAAATGGCAGGCTAAAATCAGAAAGGAGTTAGGAAATAACCCTTAAACCTGCCACAATTCACATTTAGACATTCCTAAAAGTTGTCAGCTTCCCTTTCTCTGCTTAAGGTGGACTGGACTTTGTTATTCATCCCTCAGATGTGTTTCATCTATTGTCCACTTCCTGTACCAAATGTCCCTCCATTGTACCATTTTGAACATTCATTTCAACAAAGAAAACTCTGATCAAAATAGAAAAATGCAGGCTTTTCCCAGTTTACAAAAAAGGCAAGAACTTTATTTTAAACAAATCCTCAGTTGTATAACATATCACATCCATATCTAAATCAAAAAACCATAATAATAATAATAGTAGTAGTAATAATAATTCAAAGGAAACAGAGGGCTTCCATAGAAACATATTATCTGAATACTACTCTTGCCTAGTGCTTCAGCTAAATACACAGTGGGTGTGAAGGGTGGAATATGGCACTTAAATAAATAAGAGCAACAGAGGAAAATTGTCTCAGTCCAAACAACAGGTTTTTTGAACCTTTGGTATATGTCTCAAATAAGTATTCATAAACACATAGTAGCCAATAATGTTTACTTCCAGGTTTGTTAAGCCAGTGATTGTGTGTCTGTGTTTCAAAAAAAACAAAAAACAAAAAACAAAAAACAAAAAAAACTGATGATGTAAGAAGTTGGGATTGACAAGGGCTGATTAAGGTCTCTGGTGTGAGCACACAGGTAAATTCAAACCATGGCAAAATGATGTGCAGCTGTGTAGCACAGCAAACTTAGGTAAGAAAAAAATGAGTGAGATCTGTCAGTTAGAGATTCTGTGGCTTGAGTAGGTACCCTCCATTTCAACAGAAACCGCATTGTTAACACTATCCACAGTCCATAACCTAGAAGGCAGAAATATCCCAAGGCTCATAAGCACATGCTCAACAGTGAAATGACCATCTCACAGAAGTGGGGTTGATAGTCCCTCCCTCCCATCCCCCAACCCTAATAAACAGCACCAGTGCAATTTGAGTTTAAAAAATTGGAAATATTGAGACATTCCTAAGGTTTTCAATAACGACGAAGGGCCAGTCATATGGGGCTCTACTGCAAACCTCTGCCCTGGCCAGTATCCAAAAAGCACCCCATGTAATTCCCTCTAGCTTGCAGATGAGCTGTGTTAGGGCTAATATAAGGCCAGATCAAGGAAGCAGAAAAGCTGGCATGCTATCCTGGGTTTGAGAGAAGGAGCATGCTGATGAGGGAGAAAGATCTTCAGGGATGGTTTTCTTTTCTGCAGCCCAGGATAAAGGGATGTGCTGAGATGGGTCACAAATTTTATATCAATGAGTAGTTGACTCATGCCATTCACCAGAATACAGAGCTCAGCAGAGCTAAGTCTTGCTTGGCAGTTGCGCCAGTCCACTATCGTCTGGAGCAGGAAGGGCCATTAAAGAGAAAGGCCCAAGGAAGTCCAGCTCAGTCATCTTGTTATGCTTCCCAATTGTCTCTGTAGAACTGATCGATGGTGTGAGATGTGATGGCAGTTCTACCTTTTTTCTGTGCTGAAGAAGACCCCTTCATATCTGCATCTTAGACCTTGACAGTGAGCATCACAGAAGTGAGGGCAGTTCTGCTCCCCTCGAGCCATCATCTGCCTTGGGGCTCCTCGCCACTCAGCAGGCCTTCGCCAAACCTGCCTTTTTCACACATAGGCAGAATCACTGGACTGAGTCCTGCCGAAATTGGGAACACTGACTCGAGGCAGGTCTTTGTTACGTATCTCATAGACTGACTTTCTCTTGGCCTGGGCCCCCCGGACAGCCAGTTTGATCTTGCGCCATCCCAGATGGTTCAGTTCAGCCAGATTGAGCACCACACAAATGCCGCTCACAGCAAACATGAACACCAGAAAGACTGTCTTCTCAGTAGGTCTAGACACATAACATTCCACCTCCTTGATGCAGGGGTATCTGTTACACTCATACAACCCTGGGACACTGAAGCCATATAGAAAGTATTGGCCCACCAGAAACCCAATCTCCAGAGCATTTCGGAATACCACTTGGATGATGTAGAAGCGGGAGATACCTTCCTGTCTTCGGAGCTTGGACCTTGCTGCTGTGCGCAGCCCTGACGGGTGTGGAGTCAGCTCTTTAACCTCTAAGCAATCTGGTTCTGTCTCCTTGCTGGTGTTCTCTGTGTTCTGCAGCACCCCGTTCACAATGGCATTTTGCAACTTCTTATCTTCTCGCTTGCTCCCACCACTGCCCCCGACCCCAGTTCCTCCAGGTCCCCCTATAGACTCAGTGGGGTCTCTGTCCAGGGCTAGGAAGACGGTAGAGTACCGGCGTTCTCTCTGCTTGGCCGACTGATGCACTGAATAGGTGATGAAACAGAGACTGGGGGTGCACACCATTATGATCTGGAAGACCCAGTAACGGATATGGGAGATGGGAAAGGCGCGGTCATAGCAGGCCTGGTTACAGCCGGGCTGCAGGGTGTTGCACACAAACATGGTCTGCTCATCATCGTACACCGTCTCCCCCACAATGGCCACAATGAGTATCCGGAAGATCACCACCACAGTCAACAGGATCCTGAGCAGAGGAAAAGGAGGGGGGAGAGAGGTTCTCATAGGCTAAGTCACTAATGGCAAGTCCCTGATCTTTACTTTTTCAATGTTTACCGGTCCTTGGGCGAGGGAGCTGTCCACCCTTGGGTGGTACTGAACTGAGAGCCTGGAAAACAACTTTATCTCTTTTCTGTTTTGGGGCTGGTAAGCCTGGTATACTTCATATTACAAAGATCTCCCCTCTGCAGAATTTCACACACTTTTAATGGTCCTTTTGTAATGTGTCTATTTCAGCTTTATATGAAGACTGTATAGAGACTCTAAGTACATCTTTACTCTGGCCAATGCAAGCAAAATCTTTTACAGAGGATGTGTGTTTGAGGGTCTACACATGGGGTGAGTATTGAGCCCTACATGTGTAAGTCCTAGTCTCGACATATAAAAACCTAATTGCCCATAGAAACAGTTATGAACGCAAAATTCACATGTCTATATACATAAATAGATAGCTGCAGGTAGATATAAATATGAATAAATAAATATATATCCATGTACATACATATGTGTATATATACATAATATAGATATAACTACCCACCAAAAGAAGCCAGCTCTGTGTGTGTCTCTCTGGCATTAAGTTTTACCGGAGGACAAAGTCTAGCTTAATAAATATCTGTTAAAGAACGATGCATCTGCTGTGATGAGCAAATCCATCTCCCCACTTGCCCTTCTCTGTCCAAATGCAATTCTGCCTTCCTTGTAGAATCTATTTAGGGAACCAGATGGAGACTGGCGCTGACTCTGGAGAGAGGGGGTACCAGGACTGAGTCCACAAGTCCTTTTCTGATGACGGAAGCTTGAACCCCTTCCCCCTGTGGTGCTGTATAGAGAAAGTATGGGGGAGCTGGTCAGGAGTAACTGGAGGAGGGGGGCGTCACTGGGCTTTGGGTAATCCCTTAATGCAGGCAACACTGGCACTTGGACAGAGGATGGGGAGGAGGAGACAGAGGGCCGGCTAGGGGTCTGGGGGTCCTTAGAGATAGGAGAAGGTATTCCCAAGGGCCGCCCGACGGGCCCACTGACGGCTGGCTCGGTGCCCTTACCTCCCGATCATAGTGGAGTGCTGCTGCACCGCGGCTTCCAGCAGCCTCTCCAAGATGGTCCATTCCCCCATCGCTGTGCATCCGGAGGCAGCAGACAAAGACTGGGCAGTACCGGGCACGTTCCTGGTCCTGGCCCCTCCCCGGGCCGCACCTCCTGACCAGGAGCGAATTGCCCCCCAATTTATGAAGCAAACAAAAAAATCTTTCTTTAAAAAAAAAAAATCCACGAGCCCCTCCCCCTTTTATTGCACTTGAAAAGGGTGAGTAAAGGGAAAGCAATCTAAGCGCGTCCGGACCAATGGGGCTCTTGGCGCGGTGCGGAGGAGCTGACCAGCACCTAGCTGCCGTCCGGGGGTCAGGTGGACTCCCGCAGTCTTCCGGCGAGGGGCGGGGCTGGGTGGCAGCGTGCAGGTGGCCGAGCTCCTGCCCGCGGGAGACCGGTCTCTGCGCCGCCTTCCCGGCGATCTTGCAGTCTGAGGGAGGGTCGGCGCACCGTCCCCGGTGCCTGTCACTGGAGCGGGCACCTGGCGCTCCCGCTCTGCTGCGGCGCGCAGTGCTGGCTGCGGGGCTGGGGAATCCGCGGCCACCGCCTCTAATCCGCCCTTAAGTAGTCTCCGCCTGCGTCACGCCAGGTCGGCGGAGGGGAGCAGAGCGCGGCGTGCCGCTGTCGCCGAGCGTCGGAGCCCGAGGGGCCGCGGCCGCGCGCCGCGGGGGGTTGGGAGGGAGGAGGAGACGGTCTGGAGTCCCCCGCTGCGCCGGGGCTGGGGACATCAAGGACTGCAGCGCCCCTCGGGGCTTCTGGGGCTCCCAGGTAACCTCACCTGGCCGCCGGCCTCCCGCTAGAGGAGCAGACTCGTAGGTGAGTGAGGAGGGAACCGAGTAGGTAGGTAGCTTAGCGGGTCCCCGCCTGTCCCTCACCTTTAGCTTTGGGCCTTCCGTAGCACCACTGAGATTCCTTTTCCAGATCCTGGTGCTGGTTGGGGGAAGGGCTCTTCTTAGCCCTTACCGGGAGAGGACAGCCTCCGGCGGGAGTGCTGCAGAGGGTCCTGGCTTCGGTGAGTTGATCAGGAGTGAGAAAGATCTGCTGAGACTACCTGCTGGCTGACGCCTAACTGCAGGTGTGGAGGTGTTCTGAGCGTGAAGGTCTGGGTACAAAGTATTTGCCAACCAAACAGGTGCCTAGCAGCGAGTCAGTGGGCTGGCCACGATAAGTTCCCATTTCTCCCTGCACAGATTAGGAGGCTGCCTTTTCAGTTGCACGTAACTGATGGGAGCAGGGGGTACTTTTCAGGTTAGCACGGTCCAGCCTGAATTTTAAGAACCAGTATTCATCTAGCGAAACAGCAGCTCACAGTCTCACCCGCACCCCCCCCACACACACACTCCCTCCTTATTGAGCCTTTGCTTTTCTTCCTCCCTCAATGAGCAGATTCTAGAATCGGTTTTTTAAATTTACATTTTTGTTGTCACTTCCCTCTACAGCGCCCACTTAATTGGTCCCAGGAAAATTGAAATAATCACGGCAGGCTGCCAATTAGCCGAGGGTCAGTTTTAGGAGACATCAAAGTTGGGGGTGTTTCACATAAATACCCAAAGCACAGTGAGTAAGGACGTGTCGTCTTTTCAAAGATCTGACTGGGAAGGGGTTGCTAGCTGGTCTTAGGAATATAGTGCAGCCGTAATTACCCACAGGGAGCACACACATATGTGCATTACATAAGTTACACTAGGATGTGCTTTGACTCTAGAACAATTGAGTCAGTTGGATACCAGGTGGCCCTGAGACTGGGAGGAAAGATGCAGAGTCGAGCCTGGAGTCCCCACACATCCTATTCTGCATGCATACTGCTTACAGATGGAACCCAAGCTTGAGCATCAGTGGCATGACTGCACCAAGGTTGTCTCTTGGGGCTGACACTCTTAGTCCAGGGAAGCCGATCTTCACGGACAGTAGTGAAGGAGTTCACCAGAGATGGAGAAATATGTAGGGTATAAAGGGAATGCTACCGTTAAGGCAGGGGCGGCTTCACCCTCCTGGCAGAAAAATATGCACAAGAATGGAAATAGAAAGAAAAATTTTTTTTCCAGTTGGCTAACAGATGGATGGTGATTCCCTCATCTCAGACGTGATGCACATTTTCTTTGCTCCCTTGAGTCCCCGTATTTCATCCATGGCAGATGTTTTTGGAGTAAAGAAACATAGGGAGGAAATGAATGAGAAAGCACCAAGGGCGATCTCATTAACAACCTTTAAATGCCCCCTAATAAGCTACATAACTCAAAGTCGTCTTCTGTGCTTAGGTCTTGCCAAACCTTTACAGATAGTAAGTATAATGCAAGTTTCAATCACTAGGCTATGACGGAATTGTTAATCAGCAGTTTATTATTTTTAAATATGTTTCAGTATGACACATGGAAGACACACATGTACCATTGGTAGATAAACACTCAAAACACTTCTACGTAGAGCCTATGATATATTAATTACTTTGTTTTTAAAGCTACAAAACTTATTTTTACCATATTTTAAAAACAAGTGTTTTTATTTTATTTATCAAAATTTTAGTTGCTTACTGCACTGCAATAGACAGAAGACGCACAAACCCTAATTTCTGTGTGAAACTGTATTAAAATACAGTTAGGAAATTGAAATTATAGACAGCAAAACTTCCACGGGGCAAAAATAACTGTAGAATATTCATCAATTTAAATTTCATTATTTTAAATTCCAAACTTTCTTATTTTCAGAGATCAAAAGCCTGTCAAGAGAATATGCAAGAGGTGCACAGGTATCTAGAAATAAAACGCACACGTCACTCCAAAGATTGGGACTACAAAATCCAGAAGAGATCCGACTTTTAACTATTTTTATTTTCAGAAATCGTGCATAAGTGGTGTAGCACATCTCTGTTCCCCTTCCTCTTTTGAGCCCAATCTACTCTATTTTCAATGAATAATTTGTCTTGATTGTTCTGCATTAAATATAAAGAGGTTTTCTATACAGCTGGACAACTCTGAGTTTCCTCGGGGCATTATTTCATCTGGCTGGACTCTGACTTCTCAATTCCTCTCTGATTGTAGCTACTTATTTAAGTCAACTGCAAAGTTCCTCCCATTAATTCTAATTTGAAGATCATTCTATAAGACTAAAGCAAGGGCCTCAGATGGTAAGCAAATATAGGACACATAGAATTAATCTTCGCGTCCAGTAGGCCGCCTGGGTAGATTAAGAATACAGACACCGAACTGCCATACCAGATTGTCAAGTTAAACTCTGTGGAAGTAAGGGTCAAACTCTTGTCACCTAAAATTTGGGTAACATTTACATTCCATGCTTGCTAGTAAGGGAATGAAACCCGGAAGTCAGGAAAGCTCCCCCCATTCTTCACAGATCTGAAAACAGACCTATCTGTGACTTGGTAAGCGAAAGTTCACAGGGACTGTACGTGTTATAGTGAAGGTGGATCTCCTGGCTTTGGGCCTCTTCCTGCACCACAAATCCTTAAGGAATAGAGATCATAATTAATGGCACATAGTTTCTTAGCATACAATGACAAACACGGTGTTCAGAGTCTTTCGGAAGACTGACATAATGTAAAATGGGGAAGACCCTGACCTTTAGAGCGGTTTGGATCATAGAGACGTAGGTACCTGTAGTTATCTAAATCACAATGACTTCTGGGTTTGCTCTCTTTGTGAATCCCCGTCTTAGAAGCTGGCGATGCCCATTGACCAAGCAGGAAAAGCTTTATCTCTGCTGGAAGGAAAAACTAGCAAAGGGTGTGGTAGGGTGTAGAATTAATAGTCTGACCCAGGGATGGAATGCAGAGTTACTAACAATGATAAATATTACTATGTGGGCATGTCTGGATGTGCGCTCATCTTTATATATCCTTGAAACCTCATTTCCTTCAACCACAGGCTCTACATGAACTTGGGAACAATGCAGCTTCAAATATCCGGTAACGGAAATTTCACTAAACTCCATACTCGTAAAAATGAATGTTGTTCTTTTGACCTCTGCTTTACTAGAACACTTGCTATTGGGAGAACAGAGGGCATGTATTCCTCGTGGTCTTTAGCACTGTGGAAATCAAACATTTGTTGCAGGAGTATGGTGAAGACACTCAGGCCAACTAGCTCTTGTGACCTGGGAGGCCGACATGCTCCCTGATTGGAGGCCATCTCACTTCTCCTCTATGATGTAATTGTATTTACGACAGAGAGGAAAAGGGCATCCATTTGGCACATGGGACTCTTAACACATTAGGGGTGGCCTGGATTCCTCGGGGAGAAAGCCTTCTTGCTAACCATTGGTCCCTGCTGTTGTCTTCTCCATTCTTTGCCTCCTCGCTGTGGTCCTGGCACTTGCTAAACTAACCCAGGGACTGCTGCAGCAGCAAAGCTTAGGCTGCAGCATCAGCAGCATCAGCAAGGTGGCCTTGGAAAGCTGATCAGAGCCCCACATGCATCTCTCCTGGGAAGCACAAACATCTGCAGCCTCCCAGGATCTGTGTGATGGGGAAGACTCTAATTCTGTTTGGGATTGGTCTCAGGGTTAAAGTCTTTCACATTTCATTCACGAGCAGAGTTCACTGAGATTCACTTCCCCCAGTGGCCTGCATGCATCTGTTCACCAGTGAGAACATCAAATTGCCTTCTGAAGGGATAAAACTAACTTGTCTTAGGAGACTTAAAAGCACATAAATGGCGAGTGGAATTTACTCGTTGGTGCAAAGTGACGTCTCCCTTTTTATCTTTTGTGTTTCTTCCATATGTTTAAATCTCAGCCCAGATTTTTAGGGAAACGCTTGCCTTGAGAGATGCACAAAATTTACTGTCTCAAAGGGGAATAAAGCTGTGCAACCCACTGATCATAAACAGCCCTAAATATGGCCAGAATCTGCCGCCATCCATGAGCCCAAATTCCAAACTGCGACTTAGCCTCAAGAAATCGTGTTTCTGATGGTCAAATCTACCATCTTCCTCCTGCTAGTCCTTTGAATAAAGAGAATGTACATAAAAAAAAGTACAAATTCCCCATTTCTCATTCACCTTGTATATAAAAAAA